AACATAAAATTTACCATTAGTATTCATTTAGTGTATTTGAAATGTTGTGTAACCATCACCACTCTCTAGTTTCAGAACATGTTCATCAGCCCAAAAGGAAACCGCTTACCTATTACACTTCTCTTTCCTCCCTTCCCCTGACCCCTGGCAACTACTAATCTGCTTTCTGCCTCTATAGATTTGGCCATTCTGGATATTCCATATTAATTGAATCATATAATATGTGGCTTTTTGGGTCTGACTTCTTTTACTTGACATAATATTTTCAAGGCTCATGCATATTATATAGCATGTATAAGTACTTCATTCTTTTTTACAGTTAAATGATATTCCATTTATTGATGTGCCGCATTTTGTTCATCCATCAGTTGGTGGATATTTGTGTTGTTTCTATCTTTTCACTATAGTGAATAATGATTCTCTGAACATTCATGCACAAATCCGGGGAGATGACTATTTTCAATTATTTTGGGTATATACTCAGGAGTGGCATTGCTAGGTCACATGTAATTCAATTTTTTAATTTACTGAGGAACCGCCAAACTGTTTTTCAGTTCCCACTTTATGTTACCATCAGCAATGTATGAGTTTCTAATTTCTCCACATCCCCACCAAACATGTTATTTTCCATTTAAAAAAAAAAAGAAAGAAAGAAAGAAAGAAAAATCCCAGCCATTCTAGGTAGTGTGAAGTGATATATTGTGGTTTTGATTTGCATTTCCTTAGTGACTAATGACCTTTTCGTGTGTTTATTGGCCAGTTGTATATTTTTGCAATATAATTTATTTATTTTGTTTTTATTTATTTATTTTTTTGAGACAGAGTCTCACTTTGTTGCCCAGGCTAGAGTGAGTGCTGTGGCGTCAGCCTAGCTCACAGCAACCTCAAACTCCTGGGCTCAAGCAATCCTTTTGCCTCAGCCTCCCGTGTAGCTGGGACTACAGGTATGTGCCACCATGCCCGGCTAGTTTTTTCTATGTATATTAGTTGGCTAATTAATATCTTTCTATTTATAGTAGAGACAGGGGTCTCGCTCTTGCTCAGGCTGGTTTCGAACTCCTGACCTCGAGCAATCCGCCTGCCTCAGCCTCCCAGAGTGCTAGGATTACAGGCGTGAGCCACTGCGCCCGGTCTTTGTAATATAATTTAAAATATTTCATTTAATTCTTACCATAGACCTCACAGGTGTTTTATAAATAAGTAAACTGAGGCTTTGTAAGATGAAGTAAATTATCAAAAGTCAGGGCAGAATCAGGTTCAGACCCATATGTTTCACTCTGGAAATAGGGGAAACAAGCCTGCAAAGTAATGGACTTGGGTTACTGACGCCTATCTGGACCTCTCAGATGAAGCAAACCCCCCAAGAACAGTGTAATTGCAATCAAGGCATGTGGGAAGCAACTCACCTGTGAGGCAGGCTCATTTCAGAGGATAGGCGGGCCGGCTGCACACAGCTGGGTCCCTACACCAGATGTTAGATATGTTGGTCCCAGAGGCATTCAGCTGTCACAAAGGAGGCGTTTGGGAGCCTCTGTAGGCCATTGGAATCTTATTTTTATTTAGAAGAGGTGGAGGAGGAGGAGGAGGAGAAGGAGGAGGAAAAAGAAGAAACAGCAGCAGCAGCCGCAGCAGCTGCCGCCTGTCAAAATTGCACCAAGATTAAACATCTTTCATCATTTGCCATTTTATTTGATTAACTAGAACACTGTGGTCAGAATATAAAAGATAAAGAAATTGGACTTATATAACCTACTAGGAATAGAATCCAGACCGTGTTTCAAAGAGCTTCTGATCACTCAGGCTATTCAAAGAGCTTTGATATTGGACAGGTGAGTAAAGAACATGTGTCAGTACTGGAGCCAGTACTTCCCTGGTGTACCCACAGCCTGACCCGGCGGCTCATGACAAGGGTGTCTGTGCACTGACATGTGTCACAGGTACCACGTCTATGGGTGCTGCACACAGAGGCGTGGCACTGGCATGCCACGTAACATCAATAACTGCTGTTGCTTTACACATATCTTGGTTAACTATCCTGCCTTCTCTTGAGAGTATTCTGCCATTGATTACACAATCTGGAAATTAAATAACGTGCAAATAGTAATGAAAGTTCCTACGAAGTATCCTGATATAGTAGTTTCTAGGAAGAGCGCTCCCTGGTAAAAAAAAAGATGCCTAAAGTCACATGGAGATCGAGCCAAATGTGGGGTATTTTAAGTTCCCCAGTTTATTTCACCCCAAACACTGAAAAATCATTTACTTTCTCTGAGACAGTATCAAAGTGATGTATGGCAGGAAATCAGAAGCAAAGAGAGTCAAATACACTCTGGGACTAGTTAGAGAAACCAAAGGTTTAAATGTCAACTTTAAAGTATCTTGACAAATCACATTAACGGGACCAACCTTGCTGCCTGTGCTCTGCGGGAACTCTGTATTTTCCCAGGTACTTGTGTGAATAACACCCGCCTGTCACACAGCCTGGCCCATGTGGGGTGTTTTCATTAGCACTCAGAGGCAAATCTCCAGCAACACCGGAGCTTTCTGTTTACTTGAAAAGAAGTGCAAAATATAAATGTTTTCCAAATCCGGACTAGACTGCCTGGTCTCCAACTGAGTTTGGTTGTGGTCTTTACTGTTTTTATTAAATGTATTTTGAGATGAATAGAGCAATTTGGGACAGAAAATAGTGAGATTCACTGAGATCCTATTTCTGCTGGGATCTATGCCTCCCAAGGAAAGATGAGGAAATTGACTGGGATTTTCCCACCAAGAATGGTGACCACGTAACATCACCTGTGTTATGTGTACAACATGATGTTTTTAAGAAATACTTTTTAAAGCAAGTGATTTTTAACAAATTTCTTCAAGAATTTTATCTCCTTATATTAAAAAAACAACACCTCTCAGCAAAACTAACATTTATGGTAAAAATGAGACATTAGTGGAAACAACTGGGAAGCATTTGCTGGTGCCAGGCCTGTATCTGGAGCATTTGTTTCCTGGAGAGAGTGGTGAGATAAAGTAAGCCCTTTTATCCTCTGGATCCAAAACACCAATGACTCAAAACCCTGTCCCAGTGCAGGGCTTAATCAGAGGTAGAGCTGAACCGTGAAAGCACAGATCCTTCATAACAGGATCTTTACGTATAGGACTGGCTAGGGTGTGGAAGGTACGATTCCACTGAATTGACTTGTTGAATGGACTTTTCAAAGCAGTTGTATGTATATTTGAACTATACAATTCCAAATTCAAAAAATACCCCAAATAAGATGTTCTATATTAAAGCTTATGGAAAATTAGAAGTATAAATGACTGGATTTTTTGATCTTCTCTTCCCTAAAACATATTTCACGAGTATCATACCAGGCAAACATGGCCAAGGGTTTATCAGTGTGATGCGAGTCAAAAAAAGGTATATGTTTTTTTCCTTTTCCTTTTGATACTATTTTAGTTTAACTTCCACTATTTTTCCTGGTTATAAATAGAAAATACAAACATCCTTAGGAAAAAATATAGAAAATTATAAAGAAATAAAAATCACCTGAACTTGTAGTCTCAGCTATAACAAACCTTACTGTTTTGATCTATTTTTTTCTAGTCTTTTTTCAATGTTTGCATGAATGTATACATGTAATAGCTGGATATTCATTTACTTACCCAATTGAAATTATACCTTAAATACTTCTGTCTCCTATTTCATTGAACATTATGAAAAGAGATTTTAACATATCACTAAATATTCTTTGAGCATAAAATTTAAATGACTGCATAATATTATTCTTTAACAAATTCAATAGTATTAGGTACGTAGGTTGTTTTGAATTTTTTCTTATGTATAATGCAATGATGAGTATTTGGATACAGAAATTTTGGATGAATTTTATTTCCTTTGGATAGGTTCTAGAATTATAATTGTTGAGTAAAATATAAAAGTAAAACTTTTAAAAGTTCATAATATATTTTGCCCTTACTGTTCTGAGTAAATGTGCCAATGTAAATTGTATAAACTTCCACCACTGGTGGAAAAGAATGTGCCTATCCATTGTAGCACATTCTCATTCAGACTTAGGAGCATTGAAAAATAGTTTCCACTTTGATAAAAATAGCACTTCACTGTTGCTTTAATTTACTTTTCATTAAAACCAGTTAAAAATTACTTTTTAAAAATTTTGGAAAGTGGCAATTTGTATGTTTTTTCTTAAAAGTCATTCTTTTTTTTGCCCATTTTTGGTTTTTATTTTGGTTAATTTGATTTTTTTCTTCATTTTTTTATTTTTAAATTAAAAATAAATGGTCATTATAAAAATTTAAACAAGCTATAATTATGTACAATAAAATATTGAAATTACCCTTTGCCTTCCACACCAATAGATAACAATTTTGTATGCATATTTCTTTTAAACATTTGCTTTTACAAAATACACAGACGTACATACACATCTATAGGAATTTTTTTAAACATAAATTAAATCACTTGCTTTTTCACTTAGAAGTATATCATGGATATATTTACTTGTTATAGTCATCAATATTTGTCACTCATTTAAAAAACTTTACAGTACTATTATAAAATTTGGATATTGCATAGTTTATTTCCCCATTTCTTTATCTATGTACATTCTTATACTCAATATGCTCATTATAAATAGGGCTCTGGCCTATTTCTATGCATCTCATCTTCCCTCTTACTGAATGTAAAGCATGGGTCTGATTCAACATTTGGTCTTTTTTGGAGGGAAGAGGCGTCTGTCCTGCAGGCTGAGAACACAGTTCTTACCAACTAGTCAAGGGCAAAATAAGGTGCTTTGACAGGCCACATTCTCCACACTCAGAAACGACAGTACAGGATTCCTAGAAAAGCTGCAGAAGACATCTGACAGCTTTCTCCCACCCCACCCTCATTCCAAAATCAAAGGACATGAGCAGAGCTAGTCACGATGCTAGTGGGGAGGATAGGGCTGAGTCACCTTCCTGCGGCACATCCTCTGCTGAACTAGCTCAATGCTGCAGCTGTTGAGCAGGTTGCCACTGGCCACATTGGCCATGCTGTCCCCGTTCCTAGCACAAGAAGCTCCAAGAAGCTGTGTAGCTAGTAGGCTGTTCATTTCTGCCTCCAGGAAATAGGTCAAGGTCAAAAAACCTCCAGAGACCAGAGGAGAGAGAAGCTTCCAGGCTCAGCTTCATTCCACCTCCTGCCTCTAAGTGCTGTCAGATTGGACTGCCAGTAGAACTGCCACAACCACCTGGCCTCAGGTGAGCATGATGGATGTATGCTGTGTCACACAGAGCCCTCATTCACAAATTCTCACTCCTGGAGATCCTGGGAGGGGACCACAGGAAATCCGTTCCTTCATCCATTCATCAATCATACATTTAATCAATGCCTCCATAATATTAGTTTCAGAAATCTTGTTGGGCAGCAGGGACAAAATGATGATGAAAACTTGGTCTTTGATTTGGGGCAGCTTGCCATCTGTTATAAAGACACAGACATGAACAAATGATTGTTTTATCATATGACTGGTGCTAAACCAGAGGTGTGTGTAGCGTCGGGGAGGCACAAGGGAGGAGGTGCTATTGGAGCCAGGTCTGTTGGTCTGTGCAAACACTGACTTCCTCTGCATCCCTTAAGCTATGTCTGACTCCAGAGCCAGGTCCCAACAGTCACCAGAGCAAGTAGCCACTAGCTGAGCATGGCCACACCAGAGTCCTGCGTTGTGGGTAAGCATCCAGCCTGCGTGGAAGGCTTCTTAAACTAGAGACCATGGGCCCAAGCCTAGGAACATACTGTGTCCAGATCAAAGACCCAACCCTCAGAAAAGACATGGATTTGAACCTATGGAGGAGTTTGATTTAGCCTTTGTCTTCCTTTGGGTTTCCCCAAAGCAGACACTGAGACAAAGCTAGATCTTCAAGAAAGGCAGGGTGAAAAACAGATTTATTGTTGATAATTTGGGGACACCATTATCTCCGCTCCTCCCAGGTCAAAAGTGAAGAAGCAGAGAGCACCGTCCACACCCTGCCTTGGATCCAAAAGGCCTTCTTCACTGTCAAGGATAACAGTAAAGAGAGTTCCAGAAATGTGGTTTAGAACAAGAGCCCCCGTAGAGGTGAGGAATTTCTCAAAGGTAATAGTTTCCTGTTTCATTTCATCAGGAAAATATGGTTAAGAGTTTAAATAAGTTGAATCCTCATTAATAAAATTCATTCTATTCTTAAAATTAAACTTCAACCTATTAACAAATTAAATTCACATAATTAAATCTAGGATTATGAAACAGACATACATAGTGGAGGCTGGGGTCTATTATTTTTCACGGAAAGAGCACTACCACACACCACTCATTTTGTCTGGGCACAGGAACCTCTAATTGTGCAGTCAGCATTGGAGGCAGAGTGACATTCATAGGCGCCCTTGGGCCTTTCACTCTGACCTCTGCAGCCTGGAACAGCTCCAGCCAACAACAGTGGTCAGAGTGTCCACACTCGCTGTGTTCTGGTTAGCTCAGTTCAACCTCTACCTACCCATTGTGACCACTTGGGTGTCTAGAAAGCCACCCTATTCAGAAGGTCACCCAGGAAACGGTGGTCCTGTTTAGAGGCCGTGGCAGGCCTATTGATGCCCAGCCTTGCAGCTGGTACTAGAGGCACTGGGCTTGACTGCCTGAGCTCAAAGACCAGCACGGTCATTTGCCAGCTGTGGGACTTGGAGTCAAGTTGCTTAGCTTCTTTGTGCCAATTTTCTCATTTGTGAAATGGAGACCATGAAACCTTATTCAAGGGTTCTTAAGAGGACGTTGTGCCTTGAAGCCCTTCGATCAGGGCCTGGTACATAAAAAGCCTCCAGTGACTGTTATCTCTGCTGAGGGGGCCGATGCTTGCAGGTGCCTCTCAGAGCTTTAGGAGCATTCTGGCCTCATCCCTTCAAAGGTCATAAAGGGCAACTACAAGGCCGTGTGGTGGTAGTCTAGGCCCAAGTCTAGACCTTTTATGCCATGATCACTTATAGCCCTCAAACTCTAATGTGCCTACAAATCTCCTTGCATTTTAATGCAAATCTGAGCAGGTCTGAAACTCTGCATTTTTAACAAGCTCCCAAAGTTTGATGCTGCTGGTTTGCAGACCATCCTTTAAGTAACAAGGACTCAGGCTTCTTACAGACACCAGCCTGATAGCTTCTTTAGTGTGCCCACATTTATAAAAACACAATCATGTAGTATATAACTACAAACCTATACAGCATGGAATTTAAAAGTGGAAAATTTAGAATTAGATGAACTTGGATTGTAGTCCTGAGTATATACTAACTATGTAACCTTAGACAAATTCTTTAATGTATGTAAGCCTCAGTTTCTACCTCTGTTACTGAGGATAATGATGCCCAGTTTACTTGGCTGCTGAGAGTACTGTGTGAATTAATGAGCTGAAACACCTGGGCAGGAGAGTGCAGACTCCTTGAGGTAGCTCCCAGTCCTATAATGGTAGCTGATCTGAGATGGAAGAGTGTTTCTCGGAGGCCTATTCCATATCCCTTCATGTGTTCTAAAAGGGGCAAATAACGTCACCCAAGATTTGCATATACTTAGCTCTGCCCCTTCCCTCCTACACAGACAAGACATCCCAGTAAAGGGATAGCTTTACGTAGCTACTCTGGACTTGCTCCTCGAATGTCATCTGTACCCACCATCTATTCTTGTCTGTTCTCTGGGAGGGAGGACTTTGCTGCCTGTTGTCGTGGTTTCATCTTTGCCTCAACCCTTCCACTGCATGTACAGTTGCCCCCTGGCTGGGACCGGTACCTCCTGAGGACAGTGTGGCCGTCTGCCCCAGGTGCACTAATTTCACCCCTGTTCCCAGGGCAGCCTCTTGGTCTAGACACAGTACATAATACATACTTTGGGTTATTCCTGATCCCGATTAATATTTGGTTTTCATATTATATTTTAGTAGGCAAGTTATAAACTGGTTATATCTCAGGTTTTAATTGACAGATCCCTTGTGAGTGTGGATTATTGTCAAGAAACAGATTCTAAGAAGCACATTCAATTAATTATAAAACACTTATCTCAGTTAATTTAGCATACTCTAAATTCATTATTTTTGGAAGCTGCTTAAAAGGTGCTTGCTATGCTGAAAGAAGTTGCAAGAAATTTCCATCAAAATATGTTGTATTTTCTACAGTGATGGATCCTGATTTCATTGTTTATTAGGCAGGCAATAAGCCCAACATGCCGCATTATCTTTTAAATTCTTTTAGATTTTTCTCTATCTTGATATTTTTCTATCTTTATGTTCTTGCTAGTTCTGTCTTACTAGGTAGATTTTTTTTATAAAAAAATGTTTAATCTGAACTATGAAATTGCTGCTCTGAGCTATGTGTGCTTTTACTTTGAAAACAAGTGACACAGATTTATGAAATTACACATAAATTCTAACTCTGGATCATGACTCAAAATATAAATTTTACATAAGTTGACTGTATAGTCAATCCCAAGACAGTATGCACACATGTATATGTGGCATTAATACATTCCTGTGAATAAACAGGGCAGCTTCATATAAAATCCCAGTTAATTTTGTATATTCTATAATCTCTATCTATTAGTAATCACTGCAACAAGAGTCTCAAGACTTGGGCTGTGTTATTGCATTCAACAGTGATGATATGACATTATCCTTCCTCTGTTGCATTTCTCCCTCTAAAACTTAGGGAGATCAGTTTTTATTATTTATAGACCATTGGGGGAAAATGGTAGCTAAAAAATTGTTATACCAAGAATCTGACTCCTTTTCTTCCGGCTTGCAGGTGTGAAGGTCTGGAACTGGAGTTAGGAATGCCTGTATGGTGGGGGGAGTAAAGGGGAGGTTTCAGTCCAAACAGGCTCTTTGGACCAAAAAAAAAAAAAAAAAGGAAACAAAGATAGAGAAAAAGAAAAAGATAAAAGACCCTGCTTTGTAGAATTTGCCAATTTTTATGGTGTAAATAGTCCCACCATGTTGTATTTCAGGATACCAATTGTTTAACCAGTAGCTAACCAAATGTTGACAATCAGTTCTTAGGGCTGAGACAGAAAGGGGGGGGGGAGGGAGGTTGCTGCAGCACACCACTGGATTTTAATATAGAAATGATCAAAATTGTCATGTCACCAAGGAGGTGAATGTGATAGTAGAAATTAGTCAATTTAACAATAAAATCCATTCCCTTTATACCTGTACCATAGGTAACAAACATCTACATTTTATAGTGTTTGCAGAAATGTTTTGAACATTTAGAAGAAAGAACCAGCAGTGGCTCACACCTGTAATTCAGTACTTTGGGAGGCCAAGGTGGGAGGATTACTTGAGGCCAGGAATTCAAGACCAGTCTAGGCAACATAGTAAGACTCCATCTCTAAAAAAAATTAAAAAAAAAAAACCCGGACATAGTGGTGCACACCTGTAGTCCCAGCTACTTGGGAGGCTGAGCTAGGAGGATTGCTTGAGCCCAGGAGTTGGAAGTTTCAGTGAGCTGTAATTATGTCACTGCACTCTGATCTGAGTGACAGAGTGAAACCCTGTCTCAGGGGGAAAAAAAATTCCCTAATTGTGATATCAGGTACATATATTTCTATAAAAATGGGGAAAACAAAAAACTACTAGGTACATATTCATGATTCATTTTCCAAGTATGCATTCAAAAATAGGTAATCATTTCCCTTTTTCTCTATCTCCTACTCCATCCTAACATTATCCTAACCCAATATTCATCATTAACAGAATTATGAGTTTTTCATCAAAATAACTTGGCATGAAAGTTATTATTAAAAAAAACTGCGAACCTCTATCCTGAGGATTGTAAGACTCTGTGGATGAATCTGAGATTGTGCAATGTTTCTTACTATTCCTGTAAATCCTAAAAGGTCAGATTTCTATAAGAGCATATTATTAAGTTTGCCTCTCTTGTTTAATCAAAGGAAGAGACAACACTCCAAATATTTTTCTGAGTTGTCTTTTCATAAAATTTTAGGGTTCTGATTTTTTAAGTTGGAGCTTTGGAAATTTTTGCCCCAGATCAGTTTCTTAGCAGCGGTGTTGATGGGTTGATGTTATGAGCATGTATCTGTGCATAATGTCTATACAGAAACTTATCTTTCAATTTAGATTTGGCATGTTAAAATCTCAGAAGGACTTCAATTGCTTAACATGTTCTCTCAAAGAAGCTAGTTAACTTCATTACCTCAAACTTTGCTGTGATTATTATACAGTATTGTCCTGAAGTCCTCGTACACTTTCAAGTTTAAAAGTGATGCTGTAGACATCATAGAAACAATATAGAAATGTTACCTGTTACCTAAAAGTAGATTTATAAATTTAACCCAGATTCATTAAATGATTGTATCCAATGCATTATTATTATTTATGATCATATGACAATGTAAAAATAGGTGAATGGTAGTATTGGTAAGAAGATTGCCTAACATTGCATAGAACTTGAAGCCCACATCATGTGGGAAATTCTCTCCTTATCAGATTGATATAGGTTGCTTTTTTTTTTCACACCTGAAACATTTCACATGGATAAGTATGTAAAATTGAATTCACCTCAACAAACATTTATTAATACCAATTGTAGTTTAGATATCGATTTCAAAACTAGAAATACTTATGTGATCTTTTTTGGAGAGGAGTTTAAGCTCTGGCAAGGAGCAGGGCCCAAATAAATGATTACGTACATATATTCACAGTGGTATGGAAACAGGGAGACCAGTTGTCCTGGACAAAGGGACTTTTGAGCTGAATCTTGGAGCCTGAGTAGGAGTTTAACAGGTAATTAGGTGTATAAGAGCAGCAGTAGAGGAGTAACAAAGGCAGAGTTTCAAGACATTTGAAAAACAGCGATTCTTCCACAATGGTTGGGGATACAGAGCAGAGAGGGACTAGAGATGATGCTGGAAAAGTAGCCTGGGACTGGGATAGAAAGAGCCTTGGGTCTTCTATGAGTTTCCTAATTGCTGCTGTAACCAATTGCCATAAATTTGGTGACTCAAATTTATTCTCTTGCAATTCTAGAAGTCGGAACTCTAAAATAAGTCTTACGGGGCTAACATTAATGTGTTAGCAGGGCTGATTCTTCTTGGATGCTGTGGCGGAGAATCCAATGCTAACCTCCTCCAGGTTCCAGAGGTGCCTGCGTTCCTTGGCTCATGGCCCCTTTATCACATCGCGCCAACCTCTTGCTTTTGTTATCTCATCTCCTACTACTGAGTTTTATTCTCTTATAAGGACTCTTGTGATTGCATTGGCTCACCCTGATAATCCAGGATAATCTCCCATTTCAAGGTCCTTAATCATACTTGCAAAGCCCATTTTACCATGCCTGGTAACATATTCACAGATTATGGGGATTAGGACATCAACCTCTTGGGGGTCATTAATTTGCCTACCACAGGTATCATGCTGCTGAGTGTAAACATATCTTTAGGACTTTCAGGAACTATTACAGGCTTCAGAACTATAGAATTCCTTGGTCAGATTTTCATTTTAGAAGATAACACCATCTGTAGGATGGAGGGAAAGACTCAGGACAGGTCCAGGTGGGAGATGGTGGGACCAAGACTGGAAGATGACAACAGGGATGGGGAAAGGGGGACATTAAATGGTCAGAGTGGAATATGAATATTCAGTCATTCTGCATATGAATATGTGTTTTATTTTTTCTCTGTCAATTCTTAACTGAATTAGAGGGAAGGAACGTAATTATTTCCTCTCACTCCCTGGGACGGTTCAAAGACCGAGCCCTCCATGCCCTTAAAAAAAGGAAATTGACTATTTCTGCAGCTTTTGATGTAGGCTCCAGATTTAATGAGCCATTGAAGGCTGCTGTGGGAGAACAGGGGCACAGACAGGGATGCAGAGGTTGTGGGGATAGGGAAGACTGAAGAGCGAAGGAGTGAGAGATAAACAACAGCAGGTGGATACCAGAAGTCTGGGGAATTGACCTGTGGGCAGCGGTCCAAGGAGCAGAAGAGCCCAGCACTAAAAGAGTGGGCCTGGGGAGGGGCACGAGTCCTCTTCTGTGAGGGCCCAGCTCCCACTGAACTGGAGCCTCCCAGCAGATATAGCAGAGATATCCTTGGGCTCACCAAGCCATTTTAATTTCCTCCTGGGCACACGAGGAGTCTCCAGACACAAAGATCTAAGGGGCACAGCGTGACTGGTTCTGGCCAGTGAGATATGGGTGGAAGTGATGAGGGCCATTTCCCAACCTGGAATGTAAGAAATCATCTGCTTGATCTTGCTTTCCCTTTCAGCGCACCCTGGGGATTATAAATGTGGAGACAGTCACTCTATGCCATCTGGTGATGGAAAGAACTTGGAGGACACCTGCTCTGGAAAACACCTGCCCATGTTCTTAATGAGGAACATCTTCCTTGGACTTTGCCTAAGTTAGGAGTAAACTTTAATTGCATAAAACCTCTCAATTTTGGGTTTTATTTGTGAATGCAGCATAGCTTAACCTATCATGACTAAAACCCAGGGGATTTTGATTTTAGTCCCCAAGAGAACTTCACTTTAGGGGCACCAGCGTCATACTGAGTGAGTGGACAGTAGGAACGACATTTTGGTAATAAGAACTTTCCTGAGAGTCCCTCTGATTATCCCCTGGTTACCCCCACTGCACCCAGGATTCCTGTGAGCCCAAGGGGAGTTACCTCCTGGACACCTAGCAAGGTAGTGGGGTGGTGGAAAGGACTGGCACTCGTACTTGGGGAGACCAAACTGTCCATACGCCTCTGAGATGAGACAGCAGTTATGGGCACCTTGGCTACGTCATATTAAGTTTCTAATATTTAAGATTAGAATGAACAGGACCCATACACATGCTGTTCACTACTTTCATGGACATAATCCCTGAGCCCAACTCTGTTTGGGCTCCTTAGCGTCTACTGTGTCTTAGCCTCAGTTCTCTCCAGAGCAGAGCCTGAAATTAGGACTGGTGTGCAGGATGTTTATCTAGCATGTGATCACATAGAGCAAGAGTGAGGGATCAGAAAGTATAAAACAGGGATGGAGAAAAAACTACGACGAGGGTCTTCTAAGTTACCCACCACAGTGGGCAACTGGGGCTTAGTCCTTCCAGGATATGCGGAGGCATGTATAGGCTGTTTCAGAATTGTCCACTGAAGGATCCACAGGGAGAAATATGTCCATCACTCATTGGTTGAAGGTGGCCCAAGAAGGCAACAACTCCCCTGACTACAGGGCTTTGCTCGGAGCATGCTGAGTTTCCTTCTGTGGTGTTGGAGCAGCCACCCCCAGGAACACAGCAAAAGATGCTCCGAGCATGCTGGAGGCAAGGTGCTGTCAGCGTGAAGCCATGTGAAGCCCACACGGTATTGTTTGCCAAAGCCAAGGCTGCAAACAGTGCTGGGGCTGGCAGGATGTGAGGAGGGCCCTACAGGTGTCTGACACATAGCCCCTTCCTGCCAGCAACCTGATCTCTTCATGGGGAATTCTTGAGGGCATGAATTCCTGCCTCTGATCTCCCATTTCTCAGAAGCTGAAACTCAGGGGGACAGGTCTGTCCTCTGCCTGACCTAAGCTCATCTTATTGGTGAGTGGACGATTCTGAAAGGCACGCTGTACACACTTCACAAGGTCCCCAGCAGGATGAAGCCCGGTTTCCCATAGTAGTGCATGACTTGATAACATCCCCTTGCAGTGGCTTAGACCAGGTAGAGGACATCCCTAGACCTTGAATTCTGAGAGAGTAAAGCAAGGATGGGGCGATTTGATGATCTATCTTATATAGTGGTGGCCTCAGCAGTAGCATTCTGACTGGATTGTCCCTTTTAGGAGACAATCTTTTCTCCTTGCTTCCTGCAGCAGCCCTTCTGAGTTTCCTTGTTCTTGTCATTCTCTAGCTTGAATCTTAGCCTCCCTGTGAGTCTATGAGCCTCTCATATCCTCCCAATAAATTCCTTCTTCCTTATGCTAGCCATAGCTACACTCTGACAGAGAAGAGATACCATAACCCTCCCAAAACAATCAGGTTTGAACTCATCATGTGAATCTCTGCTAATTTGGATTCAACCACCGGTAGGTATTATCTGTTGTGTACATATGTGTATTATGTGTATTAATGGCACATTTGTAAGTGGAAGTGTCTATAGAAGCTAGCTCTGACGCCATCTTGTTGGAATTAACATTGATTCAGCAAAAAAACCCCTCCGACTTCTGCCTCAGCAGCTTATCAGTAATAGTCTGATCAAAACAAGAGTATATGCTTCTGATTTTATACTGAGAGAGATTTTCTTCGTTCTGCTTCAATCCAAGTTAACTTTAATGATATAATTAAAGAGTTATCTAGAAATGTGGACTGAACACTTGCATGTATCTCGGTTTCCTCATAAACCCTAGTTAAATGATGGTAAAGGCAAACAAAAAAGGTATACATGCTCAAGGGCGCAGAGCAGAGGAATGGATAGAGGACCAGCTACTGACTCATCAGTCTGAAGAAAGCTGACACCTAAACCAGCAGTGGGAGAAGGCAACAGCCAGAAGCAAGCTGACTCATGCTGCAGAGCCCTGGGAAGGCTCAAGAATTGGAGGTTTCAGGCACTTTTGAAGATGAGAATGTGGGAAGATTCTGAAAACAGAATTAGTTGAAAGTCTGCATCTGCAACAGTTAGACCCCCTTCCTCAGGACATGCACTGGGCAAATGCCCTCCCTGACCATAGCTGAAGACTGGAAAGGTCAACCCTGGAAAGTTCTGGATTTGAGAACAACAGGCACAGCTGAGGTGTGGGTGAGGTACTATACCGAAATGATAAGGATATTAAATAGACCTATTACAAAGAAGTATCTTATACCCTGAAAACTTTAGATAGACTACATAATCAGGTGCCATATAGGTTCCAGAATTTTTAATATGTAGGTATCTATTTCAACATAACCTTTCTTAGCTATCACCATAGATACAACTTCAGGCTCTCCTGGAAGTGAGATCAGACTTACTCATGCTAATCTGCTGCTCTGGGAACTGGACGAATCTATGACCATGAACCCCAGCCCAGGAGAATAGCCCTGCTCGCCACAGACCAGCAATACAGTTGAGTGTGCACTTCCAGTGCTTAGCTGTGGCCATTGATTATTTATAACCCAGCAGGTATACAGCACAGTCTCTTGAGTTGAGTTGCTGGAGTCTAAACTTTAGCTCTGTAGTTGCTTATCCCTAAGCAATCTTGGACAAGTTATTTAACTTTCTGATGCCTCAGTTTCTTTATCTAAAATAAATTAAAAAAATTCTTCCAAATCTTTGATAGTATAATACACCTACCATTTTCTATTAAAAATCCCATCAAAATTATATTGTTTTCAAAGACATAATTTCAAGAGCTTCATTTACAAATACCATACATTGATTTATTCTTTTCCATGCCCATAGACTGAAATATCAAACAGAATTCGGAAGGATAAGGTTGCTGACTTTTTAAAAATCAAAATACTAAGCCCTAAAATGCCAGCTAATGCATTTGGGAGGAATGATGGAGCCAGAAAGCTATCATTTTGAAAGCATCATCATAGTAATAAATTTAGGCAAGAATCATCAATGAATGTCAAAACTAGTGGTAAAAGTTTAATGAGAAGCAGGGTATTTATATGGTCGCAAAGTATCTTCCCATAACTACTTATTAATTACAAGGGGAAAGTAACTTCCCAGTGGAGAAACCTGGCAGACACAACCTTAAGGAAAAGAATAAAATTTATATCACAATAATAAGTCAAAGCCACATCATGTGCCACCTGTTAGGGTTCACTGAAAAAGATACAACGTTGCTAATGAGTTTTTCTCCCAAATTTGCATACCCTGAATTAATCATGAGAAACATCACATACACTCAAATTGTGGAATATTCTACAAAGTAATTGGTCAATATTCTTAAACAATGCTAAGATTATAAAAGACAAAGAAAGGCTGAGGACCTATCACAGATTAAAGGAGACAAAAGACCATGCAAACTGTATTCAATGCATGATACTGGATTAGATCCTAGTCCAGGAACAGAGCAAAGGGACAAAAGACATTATTGGGGCATTTGGTGACATTTGAATATTCACTGGGGATTATATAATAGTCATCATATCAATGTAGATTTTTCTGATTTTGCCAGTTGTGCTGTGGTTTTGAAAGAGATTGTCCTTGATTTTAGTATGTACACACTGAAGTATTTAGGGGTAAAGGGGCATGTCTGCAACTTATTCTCAAATAGTTGAGAAAAAAGTGTGTGTGTGTGTGTGTGTGTGTGTGTGTGTGTGTGTGTGTAGGGAGACAGAATAATAAAACAAAAAGATATATGTTTAACAATTGGTAAATCTAGGTAAAAGGCATATAGGAAACTTCATAATAGATTTATCCTATCATTTCATATATCCAACCTTAGAGAAACATTGCTTTCAAACCATGCCCAGTGCAGAAAGGCAAGATAGTGCCAGGCTCCCAGACTCCACTGAACCTGGAAGTATGAAGGTAGGGAATCAATTACTTTAAGAATTATTCTTCTGATAAAATTTCTTGCAAGTAGTTTTAAGTAGTATCTTCTATATAACAGCATGGCAGAATCAGCTAGTTACCACATCAATATTCATTCTTCCATTTCTCTTTGGTAACAAACTCCCTAATTCTAGGTAGGAATAAGGTTTGCTCACAATAAAGTCTATATTTCCCACTTCCCTTGTAGCTAAATTTGGCTATGTTGCTAAATTCTGACCAAGAGACTAAAAAGAAAAGTTATATGGCAACTTCCAAGATACCTTCTTAAAAGATAACAGGCACAGGTCCTTTTACCCTTCTTCTTTGTCTCCTTTGATGATAAAAAAAAAAACAAGTCAACATGACTTTTCAAAGTCTTGTCAGTGTTGTCTGACTATGTTATCTTAGATCAATGATTTGAGAAGTATGTGGGACTCCTTGGGAATCTCTAGAATGCAGTTAAAGGATACACAAAATCCTTCTTTTTGCAAAGACATCTGTTTGAGATCGGATTTTCTCTATGTACTTCAACCAAGACAACATACTGTAACAGAGTGAATGCAGAGCAGACATGAGAATCCAATTGTCCTACATTAAGCCAGAATTTATACAGATTTGCAAAAGAAATAAGTTTTGGAAAATATAGTAATTTAAGAAGTAAATATAAATTTATGTTAATATGCAATAGATAATTGTCATTTCAAAGGAATTAGTATGTATATATTATTTAAAATTTTCCCATTTTAATACAGTAAATACTGACAGACATAATCTGCATAAACCTAAGGTCTTTGGGATACTCAGTTGTTGTTTTAACTTGTTTTGAAATAATTACCTTCAATAATTTTAAGAGTTTAAAAATTTCCCAAGACCACAATGTTTGAGAACCACTGTCTTAGACAACACCTTGCTTGGTAAATTTCAACTTAATCTTTCAAAGGAGAGAACTACTAAACAACATTTTCTTTGTGACTGTTTTAAGTATTAATTGAGATAATGATTAACAACTTGTATTTATGTACACAAAGAGCATGGCATTGTAAAAACTCAGCTCATTGCTGTGAAGGATAGTTTGACCTATCTATATTGAAACACGAATTCAAATGCATATTTGGAGTACAAAAAGACTATGTTCCTTTTTAATCTACTGAATCATACCTGAGAATAAAATTGGTCATTGAATAAGGATACATATAGCTTCTAATAACTACAACTGTCCTAAAAGAGGCTAAAATTAAAATAAGCAAATTTATATTCTCATATAACAAGAAGTCTAGAGATTGGATATTTTCATAGATGGGGTATTCCTTATGCTCAATGGCATCAAAATTATTTCCAGGATTTTTACATCCTTCCAATATGCTAGTTTCAGCATTTTGGCACATGTAAACTGGCTCCCCTCATAAGCTTCAAATCCTGACATAAAAAATAAATACACCATGGGGAGGTAGAACACGGAGGAGTGGAATGTTTCTTCCCACGCTTTCTTTTAGGCAGTATGACTTTTCCCAGAAGCACCTTGCCACGCTAACACTGACTGCTTTTCAAATACCATTGGTTAGAATTGGATCACATGACCACTCAAACCAATCACTGGCAAGGAAAATGAAATTATCACGATTGGCTTGGCTTAGACCAATCATGATTATCTTTTCGTGGTTGAGGAAGGCCCCAGCTTTTCTGAAAGCACTTGATTTCTTGATTTTTGCACAAATTTGGGGTTTTTTTTAACAAGAACGAGGGTGGGAGTGGTGAATAGCTATAGAATAGGCAAACTAAAAGGTCTTAAATAACCACAACAACTGGAATGTCTCATGGCTGTAACTAATAGATTATCATAGCATAATAGATGAAATTCAGAGAAGTTTTATAAAGATCATATTTATCTGTTTTCCTTCTGTCAGTTAATCAGTAGTCATGGAGAACTTAGTAATTGCCTAACAGAATTAAAGATTTATAGTCTTGTTTTCTTAAACCTTCATTGATAGTTCATTCTTAGTTTATAGTTTTCTACAAATCTATAGATTTCGTTCAATAATAACAAAAATTTAGTTCTATTCAATCTCATACTACTATATTTTTGTGTCCTTACTTAAATTATCATGCGCTTGTCATCGCTGATTTATTATAGTATCCTACCTTTTAAACTTAATATTTTCAGTTAAAATTTGGCTGTCCCATTAAACTGGGAGTCACTTGCATATTTAAAGAATATAAATTTCATTTTATAATCAAAGTAATTCTCTAATCTCAGTAATTAATAAAAGTCAGAAACAAATACAGACATATATTATCCAATATGGCCTTCTTTCTCTGGAACAACCCACACACCAGCTGTCTGGTCTCCTATTAATAGTATGAGCCAACCAGGGCAGAGAGATACTTTCTGCTATAATTTTACTATGGCAGGAACAATTTATGGATAATTTAGGAAATGGTCCTCTGTCATTTTTCCTTCAGATTTCAGGTTAAATGTCATCTCTTCAGAGGCCTTTCCTGACCACCCTATTTGAAAGAGGCCTCCTCCAATTATGTTCTATTAAATTACTCTTCTAATTTTATCTACAGAATTAGAACTCTTGCAAATCTGTAATTATCTCCTTCATGTATTTGTTCATCTTCTGTCTCCCACCTAGACTATAAGAACAGTGAGTGCTAGAAAACATGTTGGTCTTATTCTATACTGTATGTTCAAAGCTTAACCCCAGTGCTTAATCATAATGGCTGATCAATAAATATTTGTTAATTGAATCTAGTTTTCTTTTCTGAATCATTTCTCATTGAAACATTTTAAGTTATATTCTGAAATAAAATTTTAAAATAAATCTTGGTGTTTGTCATATTTTTTCCAATGATGCTTAATAATACAGGATATTAAATTCATACAGTTAGTGAACATTTAACATAAAGTGTCAGTTGTGGCAAAACATGGTAAAATATAGTTGATAATGGTACAGATATCTGTTTATGTCACATGGATACTTCTCTACATACTGTATTTTTATTTTACATAATTTATTAGGTATGAGAAATTAACCTATTTGGGGTTAATATAGAAGCTTAAAAACACCTAGATCTGAAACCATCAAGAATCCACAACAGTTTATTTGTTCAAAGCTGAACTCCTGCAAATATTTTGCGTCTTCAATATACTTTGAATTAGAAACCTCTCATGAACTCTCCTTGTGGTTTTATTAATACAAATCCAGTTGTAGCTATAATATGAAGCATGAAATATTTTAGGCCCTTTGATATTTTATTAAATACTTAACTACATTAAATACTTTATTGTCATTATTAACCAAGTAAGAAAATTATAAGAGGAGCACATTGAAATCTGGCTGTTTTCAATGGAGATATTCCCATGTATGAGTGTCATTAGCACAGACTTGCTAAATCTCTCTCTGAGCCATCTGTGAGCACCTTCTTGGTTTAAAACAACACACGCCAGCTCTGCTCAGTTCTAAGTCAGTTTTTACCACAACTGTTATCTTTATCTTAAACCTGGGGATATTCTCAAATGCTTGAAGCTTGGAAATGCCACCTTTCACTAAGGATCTGATTTTTAAACTGAAAAAAAGATTTCTATTAGATCAACTATTTCAAATGAGATTTTATTGGCATAAAATGTGGACCACAAAAGTTCCAATCCATTTTCAAGGAACAAACTAGAGTATTTTTGGATTACGAGTGAGTTTAGAATATAGTCATGTGTTTAACCTACTAAGAATCCAAAATGAAATTCCTAGTCACTTGAGCTTACTTGCTTGCTCTTTAGTTCAACCTCCAGTGAGAGTGATGTACATGCTCCTTTTATAGCGGCTTCAGTGTGAGGTCCTGGGTTTTGGCAAGTCAGCAGTAGGGAAGGCTTTCCTGACAAAGACCTGACAGTAAATAACTGTACTTCCTAGTTTGGAGGCTGAGGTCCTTACTGCAAATCCAGTGCAATCTGCTCTAACGGACTTACTCTGATCACCACGAATCAGAGCATTCAAGTGCAGTGTCCAAAAGACTGCACTGCAGCAAAACTACCTAGTACTGCCCAGAGAACAGTGCATTCTTTAAAACAAATTCTAAAGTTATAAGAGACATTATAACTCACTTTCTCTACTGAAGATGCATGTTTTTAAAACCTGCAAATCAGAAACATTTAAAGTAGGATTCTTTTTAACTGTGGTGTTTAGTGCTTTAAGTCCAGACTGAGAACGGTTAAGAACCAATCCTTTAATGTCATATCTAAGGTTTTTATATTGGACTATACTCTGTATACCATAAAGTTCACCTGTTTTAACTATACAAGTTAATGACATTTAGTAAATTTACAGAATTGTAAAACCATCATCACAATCTAATTTTAGAACATTTCCACCACCCTCTAAAAAAAATCCCCCATACACATTATGTTTGGAGTTCTATATTTAATTTTTCACAACTTTTCTGCATGGAAGCCTAACTGCATAATTGAAATAGAATACAAAACCATTAACACACTTGATTGTGTTGGCATTCAGACACAAATCAATAATTTGACTAGAAAGGAGCACATTTTAGGTGTACAATTTTTTTTTAAGAAAGGAATCTAGCTAATTAGGCAGGTGTTACAGTTTTCCTTAAATAATATTCATAAAATCACAAATAAGAGGGGATGTGTACAAACTGAGACTAACCTTGCTCTTGTTACAAGCAAAGCTGGCATTATTCAGGAGGCACATGGTGGCAACAGCAGCTGTGAGTCATTATATTCCTCTTATTCCTTCACACTTCTGTTTTTCACCTTGGTTTCTAAGCGTGGAATAAGTCATACCCTAGCTGAGGTCATCAAAAAGGGTAGGGCAACAGCCGTCATCTTCAAAATGGGAGACTAGTTCAAGCTCCAATTTTTCTTTTTGTCAGGCTGGAATTTTTGTTTTCATTGCTTACTGTTTTCTGGATAATGCAGAAGCTCATATCCGGTTTTTAATTGTCTTGATTTCTTCCCTTCTTCCTCCTCTGGGACCATCGCCTAGCACCCTCTCTCCAGGGTATACTTACTTTCTTACATTTTATAGTCATGTAAACATTCAAAGATTTTTTAAAAAGCATGTTAGGCATAAATGTACCAAGTATAAGTCAATTTATAATACTTTCTCTTAGTCAAATATAAAGCTTAGTGGCTTGGATGTCTGTTAGAATGTAGCTCCATGAAAATATGGGAGTTTTTCTGATTTGTTCACTGACATATCCCAAGCTCCTAGAATAACTCCTGGCACACAGTAGGTGTTCAATAAATACTATTTGAATAAATGAAGTTTTAAAATATTTTTAGTCCTAACAAATTATGTAGGTTGGTCCACCCCATTAGAGTGTTATGAAAAGTGGGTTGTTATGTTACATAAAGCACATATTTTAAATGTACTAGTGGAACTCAGCATAAAATTCTAAAATAAATCTAAATTGTAACATGAATAAGTTATGCCTCAGATTGTATTATTTTATAATTCTGTATTTCTTTATATTTATTTATTTATTTATTTTTTTTATTTTTTTTTATTTTTTTTTTATTTTGGCATATTATGGGGGTACAGATTTTAAGGTTTCAATAAATGCCCATTCCCCCCCTCCCCCTCTTTATATTTATTTTACAAGACTTTACATTCTTATACTCCATAAAGCTTACTTAAGAGGTACATATATTTGTTCTCAAATAATAAATATAATGTTCCTGAAAATTGTATTGATGGTTCTCTTCTTCTGGCACAGCTTAAAATTATTATTTTCCTTCATGATTCAGCTAGGAAATCCCATGTTTGATGGAGATGATAAACTATGCAAAAAACAGCTTCAAGATGCATATAAATAGGTGGTATAAATAGAATAAATGTATAAATGGTAAGTTTAAGATCTATTTCTAATAATCCATATTTCTATTTCTCAGTTTACCTAGATTTGATCAAGTATAAATCTTGCCATATTTTTATGAGGTGGATGTCCCTTTTCTCCTTACAGTAATATTGTTTGACAATTTTAAGTCAACTGATATTTTCTCATTATCATACTATACCCCTTTTCCCCCACACCAGATCTAGTTACTTGATTAAGTCTTTTTCTTGGGAGTTCCCAGGCCTGGATTACTGTCATCACTGATTCACACGCTCCAACCTCATGAAGAGCTTCCCCAGAGCTATTGATTTCATTTCTTCCTTTCCCTTGGGGGACAATGAACCATCATCCAGCCCTCTCTCCCCATGAAGAAGCCTCTCCTTTCCTCATGTTATGAACATACTTTTGTCGCTTGCACCCTAAAAACAAACCCTTTTACTGATCCAACATTCCCCCCTGCTCTTTTTTCCTTTCTAAAGAGTAGCCTCAACTCACTGTTTTCATTTCTTCACTTCTAATCTCTAACTCAACTTGCTGTCAAAACACTTCTGTCCCCATACAGTCAAATGATGTTGTTCTAAAGTCCCTTATAACTCCTTAATACCCAAATCTAAGTAACACTTGGCCTTATCTTACTTGACCCCTTGCTAGCATTTACTGCCTTGGACCTCTCCTGCCTTGCTGGCATTCTTTCATCCCAAGTTTCCACCACACCTGCTTCACTGATGGGCCTTCTATTACCTTCACTACTCCTTCACGATGACTTTTTATTTTTCATATCCCCTCACCTTATAATCAATCAGATGTTGATCTCTAGACCTATGTCCTTGGCCCTATTCTCAAGCTACAAAATTTCCTTGGGAAAACTAATCAATTCCTATTGCTTTAATTACCACTTCTTTGCTGATACCTACCACATTTTAGCCTTTAGCCCTAAATTCTCCACTGAACTATAGACCTCTTATCTTTGGCTGTCTCCTGGATATCTCCTCCACCTACATGTTACTAGACTCTCTAAAATCTATTAGATCACTTATGGGTTATTTTTCTTGGGTGACTGTATTTTAAACGTAGGAAGGAAGGTGAACTCAATATTCAGTAGCCAGAAGGGCATATTCTGGTACTCTTACATGCTGTTTATTTCTGTTTCTCCTCTTTTCAGGTACAAGGTAGACTACCACTTCCTCGTTCCTTTAAAATTGGGTATGTCATGTGATTTGTTTTGGCCAGTGAAATGTGTGTCACTTCTAGGCAGAAACCTCTGAAAACTGGCACACAAATAATTTTTATTCCCTTCCTCTTATTATGACAACCGGCAACATTTCAGAAGTAAGAGGCTCCATCAGCTTGCATCCTTAAGTGAAGATGATGTGGAAAAGATCTCCTGCCAACAACCAAAAAATGGACATATAGCATGAGTGAGAAATAAACCTTTGCTATTTTAAGCCTGGGGGATTTTGGAATTATCTGTTACTGCCATATAGCCCAGCCCACCCTGACTGACTCAAGATCCAAAACCAAATTCATTATTTTTTTTCCTGTATACCATTAACAGAATAAAACAACATAAAAGTATCTCACCTGCTGTTAGTCCTACATTCCTTGTTTTCTTTGTCTTGGAGCCATCACCATCTACTCACTTCCTCAGACTAGAAACCTGGGAGCATATCTGGACTCCACTTTCATGTCAAGCCACATTTTATGACTCAGGTAATTTTATAAATTCTATTTCCTAAATATCCTTCAAATTGATCCTTTCATCTCCATTCTTAGTGTACATCTTATTATTATCTCTTGACTAGACCTTTTAAATGGACCTTTTAAATGACCTTTTAAATGGACTCTTTGTCTCCACTACCAGTCTTCCCTAAATCTATCTTCCATATGCCTGCCAGAGTGATTTCTACAAAATACAAACTTTGACCATTGTACTTTCCAGTTTAAAATCTATTCTGTGCTTACAGAACAAAGTCATAATGTCTTAGCATAGCCTACAGTGATATCCTGATCCTTTTCCTCCCACCATTTCACCACATAGATAGTACTATTCTTTGATCCTTTTAGAAATCTCAATTTAGACTTCATTTACTCCAGGAAGGTTTTCCTGGTTGTCCCAAACAGACTTTTTAAGTACCTCCCTTTTGTTACTTCTCCACCTAAAATGTGCTTTTGCTACTAAGTGTGTCATTTTTAGAAAATCTTTGCTTATGTGGCCATTGTAATGGTTATAATCCTGGGGATAGGAGGAATGTCTTATTCACCATATCTGGAAAGTATAGTACTTAGCACATTACAGACACCTCAAAAAGGTGTTTATGGAACAGAAATGATAAGTGATTTCATCAGATAGCTTAACATCTGTTAAGAGCTCATATTTTTTAAATAGCTTAAAATCTGTTGAGGGCTTACTCTGTGTCAGGTAGCTTTATTTTTATTTAGCCTAACAGTAACCCTAGGGCATTGAGACATGCATTAGGTATCTATCCTTACTGATTTCATTATCAGAAGCAAACCAAATCTCACCTTCTTAGCAGGTAGATCATTACAGGCCCTTAGGTACTAATCAGATGGATTATTTTCCTACGCAGTAATTGAATGAATAGCAGAGACATTATCGTTTACACTCAAGGTTTTTTATCTACAACTTTTAAGAGAAAGTTCAGGTCCATTATTTAAAACATTTTGAAAAAAATTATAACATCTATATGTCATCTTTCCTTTAAGCATACTTTTTACCAAGTTTAGTGGACCTCTGTAGATAAATGAGGGGTAACTCAAATAAGAGAAACAGGGGCACAGGGAGATTGACTTTTCTCCTTTCATGTTTTCAATATTTCATTATGATTCCATTCACAATCCCAAATGAATTTTTCTAATTATCATTAAGTGACAAAATACCAAGTAGTGATAGAGGTGTATACATGAACTCAAGACTTCTTGTTGCAAGGATAATGATAAAATATTGGAGAAAGCATAAAGGTATGAGAAGACACTATAGAGTTATATGCCCATATCACATGACTCCAGTCTGGCCTTCTTGGCCAGAAACAGTCAACCTTTTATAATTCACCTCTTGTTGCCAATAATTTTCTATTATCTCAAATAACAATAAGTAGATGTACAAACCAAGTTTATCAATGCATTAAAAAAACAACAACAGCTCGACATTCTTATCTTATGGAGTCTATTAATTTGTCCATTTTTTAAAAAATTGCTCCGGTATGAGGAATTGAGGCCCTTCCTTTTTCATTTTAGTCCTCATCCCCGCTTTTAAACCATGAGATGCAGTCAGTTGCATTTGCCAAAGCCTGAGCCGTGAGACTCCGGCTAGTGAAGCAATTACCCAGCCACTTGGCCCTTTTGCAGAAATACACAAAACGTGTAGAATTGCTTAATTTTATCCCCTCCTGGCCTTTTCACGTGGAAATTGGCTGCTCGGGCGAATGTTGTTTTTCACCGCAGCCATGTGTCGAAGGGCGATTAACACTCGCTTGACAAAACCCCTTGCCCGGCCATTTGGGAGTTGCACGCGTTCGCACCCCGAGTTCAGCCCGGTGCGCCTTCACGCGCAGCCTTTTTGTTTATGCGGCTAGCAGTGGGGAGAAGGGCGGAGAGGGAGCGAACCTGGCGATCTGCAGCAGGCCGCGAGGGCTATATAAAGCTCGGGTCCCGGACCTAGTGGAAGGGGCCAGGACTCCCAGCAAGCCAGCACCAGCTTTCCGCCCAGCCTCGCTGCGTCATGGAGAGCGCGGGGAGCGGAGCGGGCCAGCGCGCCGCCCCCTATGGCCCCGCACGGCGCGGGGGCGCGGACTCCGGGTAGGCTCCTGGCGCGGCTGTGCGCCTCACCCCCTCCTCCCGCGTCCTTCCAGCCCGCGCGTCCCCAGCTCCTCCCCTTGGCTCTCCAACCCCCGACACTGTGGTGCCAGCGCTTGGCTTGGGTAGATTCTCCCAGGTCTGGGCTCACGTCCCCTCTGCGCGCCTTGTGCTCCCCATCCTGCAGATCCGCAGGCTTCTGGAGACCCTGGATCGACGCCCGAGGCGAGAAAGAGGAAGCGGTGCCGCAGCACGCCGCGGAGGCGGTGAGTGAGCCGCGCGTGGCGGCGGGCTGCGCTTCGCAGGGGTGCAGAGATGCAGAGGATCAAGGGCCGGGGACGCGGGGCCCAAGGGACACACGCATCCATCCTGCCCCTCGCTTAAGATCGCGTCTGCTAGTGGTCCTAACGGTGCTGACGCGAAGGATGTGTCCCCCTGCAGCGACTGGGCCACACGAATCAGGCCGGGAGCAAGGCTCGTGGGTCACATTCGCTGCAGGCACGAGAAACGCTTGGTGCTGCACGTTTCCACTTTCTAGAAGGAGGTGGGTGGTAACTGCGATTCATCTCCTTTCGTCCCCAGATGCCTGATGGCTCTGGAATGACCGAAGCGTCAGGAAAGCTGTCCCAATACAGACACCCAGTCAGGTGAGTGATGGGCCTCACCAAAGGTCCCTCGGCCCTCCAGCCCTGGAGAAGAGCCAGGGCCACCGCACAGCCCAGATCAGCAGTTGGTCCTGCAGTTTCTTTCTCTCAGAAAAATCTTCAAGGTTATTTTACCTTCCCACTTGCAGAGGTCCGTTACTCATCGATTTGAAAAATGTAGGAGCTCACGCTTTCACATAAAAGAAGTGTTAATCAGTACATACTCAGTAAATGCTTAAGGAATATATTATGAAGAGGGATAGTGCATGGTATAGTAAAAGAATGGTAACAACTTGTGCCTGCAAAACAGTTTTTGGTTTTTTTTTTTATAATCCAAGGGTCCAAATGAAATTGACTTCACATCAGGCATAGTGTGTATGTTTAGATTAATAGCTACAGTTTTACAGCAAATCAAGCTTGGTGTATAAGAGAAAATGGAAATATAATGAAAATCCTAAAGATTACTAAGGATAAATGTAAAAGGGGTCAAAAGTTATTTAACATAACAGTGAGGAGCTAATTTACCATTCTAGACACAGGAAGTCAGCCTTTCTCTAAAATTCTTCATAGCTTTTATTCAGGTGAAAGGTTAATAATTCTGCAGTTTTCCTGCCTCAGAGAGCTGTTAAATGAGGAGCTAGATGGTGTTTGTAAAGGGTGTATGGGTTTATAAATAGCACACAGTAGTCAATACATGCTGATTAATTTCCTACCGTTGCTAGAACTAGTGAAGGACTCAGGGAAAAATAATCACAGCATATGGCAAAGGTTGTATAGGAGTTTAGTTTGGTCAGTTTTACAATATGGACAGGGGATGAAGTGCCACTCTGTCAAGGGTAGAGGGAAGGGTCAGGGCAGTGTGTATGGTAGGTTGTGGTTACCTGGCTGAGTCTTGAAGTTAGCCAGATGGATGGTAGGTGGGGGAGGAGGGGCAGAAGAAACATTAGAAAAGAGATGCAGGATCATGGAACAGTATAGCTCCTTCTGGGAGCTCCAAGGAACTAGAATTTAACTGTATGAAGCTGTGGTCATTCCAGGAGGATAGCCAGAGGCCAGATCTTGTAGACCTTTGAGTTTTATCCTGATCCTGCAGGTGGTGTTGGGAGCCCATGGACTTTATTCTGTAGGTGACATTGAGGGTTACTTAAATGATTTTAACCAGAAGATTGGTGTGATCAGATTTATCTATTAGAAAAAAATCACTAAGGAAATGTTATATAGTGCTAGTTAGAACACCAAAAGTGAAATTGGAAGCTTTGCAATTGTTCAGGTAAGAAACAATGAAGAGTCATTTTGAGACATTAGAAGTGGGGATGGGACTGGGTGAACTTGGGGAATACTTAGGTGACAAGATAGATTAGGCTTTATGATGTATTAGATATGATAGATGAAGCCAGAATGGCTCCCATGTTTGTATCTGGTGACCAGGTGAATGCTGTATGAAGAGAATCGAAATTAGGGCTTAAAATAGATTTGGGGAGCAAGGTAAAGAGTCCAATTTTCCATTTATCATATTTAATATGCCTATGGGGTATCCAAATAGAAATATACAGTAGAGAGTTTCATATATAAGTCAGGGGCCCAGAGTCAAGATCTTAAATGGAAAAGCAGACTTGGGAGCCTATGGAAATGAAGGGTTGGGGAAATCCTGACAGTAGATCAGATCATCCTAAAGGGTGTAGAGGAGAGAGCTGATCATTTTCAATGAAGTCCTAGGGGAAGGCCAGCATCTAAGTACACATCTAAGTAAAGTCCTCAAAGGAGACTGAGAAGAATCAAATTTAGTTGAATGGGGAGAAATGAGGGAGATGGGATCAAAGTTGGCATCAGAAGTAGCCTTTCTATATGCCTCAGGTTGTGAATGCATAGACAAACCTTAAATTTTTTTTTGTAATTTTCTGAACTTATAATGGCAACATCTATAGCTGAGAGTTTTAAGTCTGTGAGTTTTAGGGAAGATAGTAAGTGGTTTTCACCTTTGTGTAAAGTGCATAATATCTTGTCATTTTTACAAAGTTGGCTATCAAAAGAATTTTTCATTTAGTGGTAGAATTCATTTTTCCAAAGGAATTTGGAAACTGGAAGACAAATCTTCTGTGTATTTTAAGAATAAATACATCCATAATGCTAAAGTAACCTAATTGATCTTATGCTTACCCAGGGTTTAGTGTGAATTTTTTTGATACAATTTAAGCTTGGATAAAGATTTAAAATAATCAACTTGTTATTGATACTTTGGCAAGTAGACTTGACGGAAGCTGTTGCATTTTTAAACTCTATCTCAATGCTGTGTCTAAATGCATAAATCAATTGTTAAATATATGGATCTCTTGCAATTTGACTATTTCATGAGTGTAAGGATTTTGAATGTTAAACAAACAAGCAAAAACCCATATTATGTTGTCTGCTTCTTTCAGACTATTTTGGCCAAAATCAAAGTGTTATGATTACTTATATCAGGAAGCAGAGGCTCTTCTGAAAAATTTTCCAATTCAAGCCACAATTTCATTTTATGAAGATTCTGATAGTGAAGATGAAATTGAGGAGCTGACCTGTGAAAATTAATGTTATTAATTACTTTTGATGACATTCAAAACTTGTAGGATTTAAATTTAGTATATAAATGTATCATAATCCTTTCAAACTAATTTATTTGTATATAAATTATTAATAAAATGAAATATTTTGTAATTACTATGGTATTTTGGCCTTTTTTATACCTACACTAGAACTAAATGTTAGAATTAAAAATAGGTGCCATTTACAAATGTCTTCATTGTATTATAAATATTGGGGCTTACAAAGGCTGATTTTGTTCTCTTCATTAAATTACAAATTTATCTTTAGTTATAATTTTGCAAAGAATGACAATATGTAATTTTCTAGACTGAATCTTGTAACATCCGCTATCTCCTTCTGATCCCAATTGGATGTTGTAGTTACACATTAATATTATCATATTAGATAATGAATAAAATCCCCTTATATTACCAATGACCCATTTATTATTATGGGTTTGCTAGCAGATGGTGAAAAACCCATTAAATCATTATCTATAATTGAGAAAGGGAATCAATCTTAGGGCTCTTAAATTGTAGGAGTTTTAAATAAATTATGAGTAAAGTAACTCTCACTTTAATATTCTGTTGTCTTTAAATCCAGTAGTAAAATAGCATGGGTGTTTAATAATAACCATATTATGTTAAGGGATCCCTAGAATTAAAACAAAATGTTTAAATAGAAGTGATTTACATGAATTTTTAAAAAGCAGAGCCTAAAGGCCAGAATTTGATAGTACTTTCCATTTCTGTCCAAAGGGGAGCTAAGAAATTTGGCAGATATGGAATATTTAGCTCAAATACAATCTTCTCACAATAAGCATTTTAATTACAAATAAAAAATATTCCTATAATATTTCAGAATGATAAAGTGGGTAGAGGTGAAGATCAAAGCTGGTTACCTAGCTGGAAATGCTTCCTACTTGAATGGCTACATATATTCACACACTTTTTCTTCTAACATAAAAGATACTAAAAACCTAACTGATTTTCAGGCACTTTAAGAACCAGGTAATTAAATAGAACAAGCTCATACCATGACGACGTGTTTAGAGTTAGGAAAAGTTAGTAATAAAAGAAGGTTGAGGAGGATGATTTAGAACTATGTTTTTTTCTCCTGAAAACTTTTCTCCTTTATCAGATTCTACTCTCAGGATCTGTGTTTTCCCCAAGGGACATGCAAAAAAAATTCCATCAGGTCGCCAGTCTAGTCCTTGAGCATTAGGGACTGGTATTTACCTGCACGGTGTTTGTATGTATCACATTAATATGTTGGAATAGTACAAAGGGCTACTGACATTTATTGAGTATCTACTATTAACTAGATACTGTACTATGTAGTTTATATATTACCATTTAATCCTTACTAAAACCTAAGCCCATTGTGCAGATAGGGAAAATGAGACTTTGAGAAATACCAAAGTAATTTGCATAAGACAGCTCAGTCATTAAGTGTAGGGATGGCTTCCAGACCAAATCTGTCTGACTCTTAAAAGTAGCTGTTCTACACCACAATTAGGAGTGAGCTGCATCAGTACACAATTCCCTGTATCTTCCAGGAAGACAGGAAGTTATATGAGGAGGAAAAATTTGTGAGTGGGTGAATAGAACAGAAGGAGGCTTTTCTAACTGTCTTACTAAAGGAAACTTTGCTAAAAGGAGTCTTTTACTCATTCATCAGTAATCACGGAGGGTGCTTAAAGGTGAAGTTTTCTTCTTACCTCTCAGTAGTGGCCTTTGGCATTTGATACCTTCACTCTTAAAGGTGAGAGCACGGCCTAGTGCTTTAGAAGAGACAATTTCAGAGAAGCCAAACTGCTTTGCTAGTGTTATTTTATTTCGTATATCAAGTAGTGTGATGGTACTGCTTAGCAAGGGACAGACACTGGTGTTCTGGGTTAACAGGATTCTTGAAGCATTTATTCTCAGATTCGGTCAGCACTAGGGCTAGTGAACAGCTTCACCCTCTGATCTTTCCATGAAATAGCTGTCACCTCCGTCCAGTGCTGAAGTTCGGGACGCAGGCCTAACTGAGCATGCGTACTTTCTTCGGTCCCGCCCCAGCCGGCCCTCCCTGCGTCTGGTTGGCTCCACCCTCCGCGGACGTGCTGCGTCAGAGCGCGCCTCACCCGCGGCGACCCCGGAAGTGGGCCGGGGGCTTGGCCTCTGCCCGGCCCCAGAGCCGGAGCGGGTGGTGCTAGCTGAGAGGGGTCTAGCCGAGCGAGCCCGTCCGGCGGCGGACCCCGGGCAGGGCCTGCGCAGGGGGTTCAAGATGCTGAACGTCCCTTCCCAGTCTTTCCCGGCCCCCAGCTCTCAGCAGCGCGTCGCCTCCGGGGGGCGTAGCAAGGTAAGCGGGTGACACCTTCGGTCTCGCCTAGCGCTCACCTCCCGCCAGCGTTTTAGCTCTGGCATGCTCTGTTCTCTCCTTTATCCGCTCCCGCTCCTACCTCTTGTTCCCCTCTCTAGCTTTCGTTTCTTCCTGCCCTTGCTGGCGACCTCTTTCTGATCCCACGCTGTCTCTAGTCCTCGAACTCTTCTAACCTCCCTCCTTCTCTCCTGCTAGTCCCTGTTTCCCGTTCCTTTATCCTCCTTTATCCCACTCTGTCAGTTCCCTTCCTCCAAGTTCTTTCACGCTAATTAAATTCAACTCTGTATGACAGGGCCAGGCATTGTGCTTGCTGTATTATAAGTACTCAAGTATTGGCTTCCTTCCCTCAACCTTTCCTCTCTGGTCTTTTGTTCTTCACTGTCCAAAGGAGTTGTGAGTGATGTGGGTTCCCTCGCAGAAGGGAAAGGCTTGGCAGTGGCGACAGTGACCATCTGTGCAAGGGTGGGGACTTTTGGAGTTAGAGGAGATTGAAGAAGGTCCCAACAGGTTTACGGACACTTCTCTCCAAGACATACTGCCTTTCTTCCTTCCTCTGGTACCTTATTGTTTCATCACTGCCTTTTCTACTAGTATCACTTACTGACTTCGAAGCTGATATAAAACTCTTTGAGTTTTTTTGAGGATAGTTACTGTTAGCAACAGGTGGAATACTGTAAGAATGTATTTTATATTTGCAAAATTTAATAAAAATTGTGTCCTCTGTTTATTGCAGCATGAATGTTGCTTGCTTCCTCATTCTGTAACCACATCTTCATATTTTGTTTTTGAGACTTCCACCTCCTTGGGCCACTCTTTCTTCTTTTCATTTCTGGACTCTTGAGTCTTAGCATCATATGGGACCTCCACCGACTTTTTAATTTTTTGCCACTTAGACCTGGAGTTCTGATCCTACATGAGAATATGGGTTCAGGAATCTGTAGCTTTCATTAGCTTTTCAGAGGTCTGTAACACCAATTATAATAATAATAGCTGAGATATATTAAGTGCTTACTGATAACTAAAGTGCTTAGTGCTTTACATATATGGACTCATTAAGTCTTCACAGTGATCCTGTGAAGTGGTTGCTTTTATTATCTTCATTTCACAGAAAAGGAAACTGGTTAAGAAGTGTTGCCTTATATCATATAGGTTTGGGATGTGGTTCTGTGAAATTTCACTTATGAATAGGTATATCTTTCCAGCCATCCAATCGTGTGTCTTCTCTCTGATATTTGACCTCGTTTTTTATGCTAAATACTTTGCTGACTAGTGTAACCATTCCGGGGAGCATCTCTGAATTAGAATGTGAGTTGCTGCCCTTCTCTGTGAATACTACCAACTTTGTTCTCAGTATCCATTTAAAGGAGAAAATATAAAGACAGAGACGCAAAATCACACAGTTGGTGATGGCAAAGGTGAGTCTTTGGTTCAAAAAAGAGGGTAAAATAAGGTTATTGTATAATTCAAAGTAAAACTCAGACTTCATTCTTTTATTTCTCCTTCTTTGTGGAACAAGGTAATTTTGAACATGTAGGAAACTGAGTCCAGGATTGGGCGAAATGGGTAGAGGATGAGAAAATAAAACCTAGTTGGGAAAGTTGTGTATTATAAAGAGGTCCTTGAATAATGTTTTGTTCTAATGTTGAAAAAAAATCAATTCCTGGCAGGGGCCACTGTCTGTGTGGAATTTGCATGTTCTTCCTATGTCTGTGTGTTTTCTCTGGGTACTTTAGTTTCCTCTCACATCCCAAAGCTCTGCACAATAGGTTAATTGATGTGTCAAAATTGCCCCAGTCTGAGTGAGTAACTATGTGTGTGTGGGCTGCAATGAAATGGTGTCATGTCCAGAGTTGGTTCCTGCCTTCCGTCTCGAGTTGGAGGGATAGGCTCCAGCCACCCATGGCCCTGAATTGGAATAATGGGGTAAATAATTATCTTGTTTTTATTAATCTTAAAGGTATGCATAGCTCACATTTATTTCAATTTTAACATTAGAAGTATTTTGGTCTTTATTTAGAGTTTGGTAATGTTTTTATGAGCAGAAATATGCTCTAGGGACTTAATTCTTGTTTATAGCAATTAGTCTATGATAAAGTTGATTCACTTAAAGTCTCAGTTTCCAAGAACCTATGGATTATGTTATGTGAGGACTTACTGTAATTGTTCAAAAGCGTAGACTTTGAAGTGAGAAAGACCTAGATTCTTTTCCCGAATCTACAACTTAATCTCTTTGAGTCTGTTTCCTCAGGTGTTAACATACCCATTTTACAATATTGGTCACAGGATTAAATGAGATAATGTTTCTCTTAGCTCTGCAGCCTTGGTAAGTACTCAGTAAATGCTACTTGCCCTGAGGCTTTTATTCAAACCTGACAGATTTGTATGCACTCAGTCTATGATAGCTATTATTATTTCTACTAACACAGGTAAATAAATATTTATTGAGAACCTGCCCCATACTAAAGATGCGGTCTTCGATTTCAAGGAGTTTATACTCATAGGCTGCACAGAAAAGTTAACACTCAGTTATAATGTCATAAGTACTACAACACGGTGTTATGACCACAAAGGCGTTGGGTCATAGAAGTGCAGGAAATAATATTAGAGTTAGAGGAGAGATTGATCTAGGCAGAGAAGCAGCACCACTGTGAGCAAGTGCTTGAATACAATCAAGGAATCAAAGAATCAGTTCCCATTTGGCTAAAGCATATAATAGGTAGGAGCAAAAGTTACAATGGGGAGCTAGTGAGGTAAACTATGACCAGATTGTGAAGACATGGTAAACCACTAGGGAATTTAGAGTCATTATTATAAAGTAATCTGGGGAGCCACTGAAGGAGGGAGTGCCGTGATTTGCTTTGCATTTCCAAAAGATTAACTATTCTGTGGATTAAGGAATGGAGAGACACCAGCCATTTTATTTTGGGATGGGAAAGATTATTTTCTCACACTTTACTTTGTTTATTGAGACCAAGAGAACTAGTTTCAGTGATGATCGAATGGGACTTTGTAGATTGGTAGGATGGAATGTAAAATTGGAAAGGCACCACAGACCTATTAACTTGGTTACCTTGGGGGTAAATGGATCCATAAAATAAGCATAATTCAGGAAATTGACATGTATAAATTTTTTTGAATGTGCCTGGTTTTTATTGTTTTTGAGACAGAGTCTCACTCTGTTGCCCAGGCTAGCGTACCGTGGCATCAGCCTAGCTCACAGCAACCCCAAACTCCTGGGCTCAAGGGGTCCTTCTGCCTCAGCCTCCCGAGTAGCTGGGACTACAGGCATGTGCCACCATGCCCAGCTAAAAATTATATATATATATATATATATATATATATGCTGTCCAGCTAATTTCTTTCTATTTTTAGTAGAGACCGGGTCTTGCTCTTGCTCAGGCTGTTCTCCAACTCCGGAGCTCAAAGGATCCACCCCCCTTGGCCTCCCAGAGTGCTAGGATTTCAGGCGTGAGCCACCTTGCCCAGCCAGTGTGCCTGCTTTTGCAATAAACATTCTTCTGATACAATGTTACAAACTAGTTAGACAAGTTTAAATAGTTCCATAGAAATGTCTTGAAAAATTTCCACTGTGCTGTCTTAACTGGTTAAAATGCTAATAATACCTCTTATCTAAAAGCCTTAAAAATGTATTTTGTGAAACAAAACAAAATAAAACCCCCACACATCCTGTTATTAAATTCTCTGGGCAGGGATTGGCAAACTTTTTCTACAAAGGGCCAGTTAGTAAATATTAGTATTTTAGACTTCGAGTGCTTTATAAGGTTTCAGGCTCTTTACCACCACTTGTGGAAACTATTCTTAGCTCAAAGGCTATGTAGAAATAGGTGCAAGCCATAGCTTGCCAACTTCCCTACAGTGTTACAGTTTTATTCTTTTCCACTATTTGATAAACTTTGTTTCTCAGTGGATTCTTAGAAAACAGATTACTGGCTAATGATTTCTCATGTTCTGTTTACATTAACAGTTCAGAAAATCAACTCTTCTGTCAAATCTCTTTTGATTTTTAAGGAGAAGAAATTTCAGTTCAAATTGGTGATTATAACATATTAGTGACAGAGCCAGGATCAGAACTTGTTTTCTGTTTTTTGGTTTAATACTATTGCTATTATACAGTTGGCCCTCCATAGCTATGGGTTCTGAATCTTTGGATTCAACCAACAGCAGATCAAAAATATTTGGAAAAAAATAACAATACAACAATAAAAAATAATACAAATAAAAACCCAATATAGGATAACAACTATTTACATAGCATTTATATTGTGTTAGGTATTATAAGTAATCTACAGGTGATTTAAAGTATATGGGAGGATATACATTGGCTCTATAAAAATACTATGCCATTTTATTTCAGGGACTTGAGCATGTATGGATTTTGGTTTACTGAGGGATGACTACTGTGATAGCATTATGATAAAAATTTGTGTGACAGAATTTCTAAGCCCAACCTTGTAGCTCACGTATTTTAAATGTTGTTCTATTCATAATTCAAATATGGCAAAAACAATTTTGACAGTCTCCTAATGCTGTAAGAGGATTTGTAGAATTATTAGATTCGAATTTTATTATCTTTTTAAATGGGATTAAGAATAGTGAAGTAGCTTGAAGACAAGCAGCAGGAAGGAGAAGGGAAAATAAGTAATCTGAAGAAGCCAATTTAATTCTTCCCTTTTTCTTTTTTAGGTACCTTTGAAACAGGGCAGAAGTCTTATGGATTGGATTCGGCTGACCAAAAGTGGAAAGGATTTAACAGGATTAAAAGGCAGGTTAATTGAAGTAACTGAAGAAGAGCTTAAAAAACACAACAGAAAAGATGATTGTTGGATATGCATAAGAGGTAGGTGATATTTATTAAATATTTCAAAAAATTTCACCTGGGCTTTCCAGTCATAATGCTGTATAACTCCATAGTCATGTTATTTGGTGATATGATTCATAATTAGATAACAAAAATAGGCCTTGTACTGGATAATGAACGATATAATTCTGACTTGGAACAGTACTTCTTCCTTAAGTAACCATTACATTCTGATGCAGGAAACAGCGAACTTCTGAAATGAAAATTTTTTTCTAGTATCCTTGTACTGCATTCCCTTTGAAAGGGAGCAAGTGTTTGCCGGGCAATGTAGTACAGTAAAGTTATTCAGTAATTCCCAGTTTATTTAGAGTAACTTTCTACCTCAGTACCTTGTAACAGAATTCTGTTGGAAAAATGTCTCTGAGAATCCAAAGTAAACCTAAAAGCCCTGCATTAAAGGCATAAGTTCAGCTCTCATAACAATTTTTTTGTTATATAATGTATGTTTTTAGCAGTATTAGTTACCTGTTATTTTTGAGCTTATGGTAAATGAGAAGCTCCATATTAGAGATTGATGTGTTGGAAGAGTGTACAGGCAGACAAGAGAGTAGCTGATAGAAGCAGACCTCATGGTAGCAAACAACCTGGCATCTAGGAGGGAGGCAATTATAATAAAACGAAAAACATAGAACTGTAAGTGGGCCTCCATACTGATGTTCTTGAGTCATCTGGATGTGTTTAAATATGTCAGTTGTCATCTGTTTAAAGAGGAAGGGAAATGTATCATTTTTGCTCTTACCACAATTGTAATTTTATCATAGTATAATTTTGGTTTGTTGTCAGTGATCCTGAGTACACTATAACCTGTATGAAGACAAGGACCATGTCAATCTTATTGCTCTGTCCTTGGCACACAGAGGCCATTGATATGTGTTTGTTCGATGAATGTTAACACTTATCATTAAGAAGTTTGGTTACTTAAAAAGAGCTGTGTGGCGATTATCACAGTGGATCAGTGATATGATCAACAGAAAGACACCAAGAAATGCTGTATTAGTTCTCCATGGATGTATAACAAAGGGCCACTAACTTGGGTGGCTCAAACAACAGAAATTTATTATTTCACAATTCTAAAGGCTAGAAGACTGAGATCAGAGTGTTGACAGGTGTGTTTCCTTCTGAGGACTCTGAGGAAGAATCTGTTCTGTGCCTCTCACCTAGCTTCTGGTGGTTTGCTGGTAGTCTTTGGAGTCCCTTGGCTTGTAGAACATCACATCAATATCTGCTTTCCTCTTCACATGGCATTCTCCCTGTGTGCCATGTGAAGATTTTTTTGTCCATACAAAAACAGCCAAATTTTCTGATTTTATATGGACAACAGTCATATTGACTTAGGGGCCTACCCTACTCTAGTGTGACCTCATGTCATTTTACATCTGCATCAACCCTGTATCCAAATAAGATCACATTCTGAGCTACTGGTGGGTAGGGCTTAAACCTTCACATTTTGAGGGGACACAATTCAACCTATAACTGACACAATAGAGTGTGAAATTTTTAATGGCAAAGGATACGGAAACTTCTAGCATGTGATGACATAGCTTGCTTCAAGACAGAACAGCTGCTCAACTCCCCAAAGTTCTTCAGGGACAAATAAACATGGATAGTACCAGGAATCTAGAATGAGGATTTTGCCAAGTACAAAAAGTTCCTTTTGCCTTTTTATAGTTTTTTTTTTTTTTTAAATACCCTCGTTATCATCCCCTCATGCTGTCTACCTTTTACTAGGTACAAGTAACTGGTACAAAATGACCTTTCACTGTAACTGAGTGCTTTTTGCTAGACTGGGTGAAGTCAAGGTCAGTTTCCCAAGAACATCGCTCAACTGGCCCAGGCTACAGGCACGCCTGAGCTATGTTTCTGCAGTAGGATGCCACTTCTGCAGAAAACTTGATTACATGAAACCTTCATATCCTAGTGAAATTAGATAAATAAGGCATTTTTAGAGTAGAGTCATAATAAAGTTATACTTTTATTATTCATTTGATATATTCATGGCGATAGGGATTGGATTGCTGTGTTTGAAAAGTAACATAGGGTGAACATCCCTTATTGGATATGCTTGGGATCAGAAGTGTTTTAAATTTCAGACTTTTTCAGATTTTGGAATATATACTTAACAGTTGACCTTCCTGTAAGGTTTTTCGCCAGTGAAAAGAAAAGACAGACACAGAGAGAGAAAGAGTGGGGCCAAACCACGGTGGCTTTATTTATACACTCGTGGACGAGGTTCTGGGACCCCAAGAGAGGGGGGCCGCAGAAGTCGCCTCAGTTTGAAGGGGCTGAGGCCTTTTATACCCTTTGGGCAGGGCTAGGGACTTGTGGCGGGAAGAGCTGGGGAATTCTCTATTTGTGACCTTGGATGGTCGTTGAGAAATAGGAGGCTGGAGGTATTTGTGGAATCCAGGAGCGAATCCAGGTGGACAACTGGGTGTGGTTCCTCTCAGTGGGGCTTGGCAGTTTGTCCTTGGTGGGTCTGGTCATGTGAGCGTTTTCTTTTTCCATCTAGGAAGGGGAGGGGGCCTGCTACCAGCCTTACACTTCCCAAATCTGAAAATCCAAAATTTGAAATGCCCCGATGAGCATTTCTTTTGATTCATTGGTGCACTCAAAAATTCAGATTTTAGCAATTTGATTTTGATTTGAGGTGCTCTACCTGTACACTGCTCCCAGTTTATATATATATATAGCTATATTATCTCCATTATAATACTCTAATGTAGGACCCTCTTCTCGGTAGATAATTGTTGATTTAATCGATGTATTTATATTATAATGTATGTTTCTCTTGTTTTTGTGGGATATATTGTGGAATCTATTTGAAATTTGAGTATTAATATATGTTGTTCCCTTCCCTGTCCCTATTATATAATATAAGCCTGTGATGCAGTTTTAATATATCTAATTATGATCTTCCCTTTCTTTTTTGTCTCTGGACAATGGGAGTAATTGTTGTTGTGTTACAGCTGTGTGTGTTGTGATGTTTGTGAAATGCTTTATTGGAAGGCAACAAAGAAAGTGATAGTAGATTTAAAGGAGGGTGTTGGGATTGTTAGGAAAATCTGAAGTGCTTTTTTTTTTTTTTTAATAGTTGATAACAATGTATTGTATTTTTTTTTTTCGGCAATATTATGGGGGTACAGATTTTAAGGTTTCAATAAATGCCCATTTCCCCTCTCCCCCAAAAGTCTGAGTCTCCATCATGACCCATCCCCCAGATGGTGCACATCTCATCATTTATGTATGTATATACCCGCCCCTCCCCCCCTCCCCCCTGCCAATACCCTATTACTGTAGTAACTATGTGTCCACTTAGGGCTACTCAGTTAATACCAGTGTTGGTCTGGAGAATATATCTGGTGCTTGTTTTCCATTCTTGGGATACTATCATTAGTAGTATGGGTTCCAGCTCTAACCAGGAAATATAAGATGTGCTATATCACCATTGTTTCTTAGAGCTGAATAGTACTCCATGGTATACATATACCACATTTTATTAATCCATTCTTGGATTGATGGGCACTTGGGCTGTTTCCACAGCCTTGCAATTATGAATTGTGCTGCTATAAACATTCGAGGTGCAGGTGTCTTTTTTGTTAAAGTGTCATTGGATCATTTGGGGTAGATGCCCAGCAATGGGGGTTGCTGGATCAAATGGTAGATTCACTTGTATCGCTTTAAGGTGTCCCATATTGCTTTCCACAGAGGTTGAACTAGTTTGCAGTCCCACCAGCAGTGTAGAAGTGTTCCTCTCTCTAACAGACTTAAACCTAAGGTATGAAACTACTAGATGAAGTGCTTTTTTGATGGCTATAAGCCTTGAAGCAATGGACTGCTTTTCAGCAAGAAATGAGGAAGTACATTCAAGTGGAAAGGCCTAAACAAAGGTGCAAACACAGAAAAGCTTAAGGTGTTTTGGAGCTTAGGTCAACCATGGAGAATAAGAAAGAAGTCTGGAATGGTATATTAGGTCAGATTGTGTGTCTTCAAAGCCAGACTGAGAAATGTGTTCATTTAGATGCAGTGCGAGCTATTGAAGGGATTTGAATGTGGGAAAAGTATGATCAGAGCATGCCTTGGAAAGATTAATCTGGTGGTAGGTGTAATAAACTGCATTTGGGCAAAGAAAGCATTTAGCTCATTATAGAAGTTCAGATGGTAATAGGAGATGAATCAGGATGACAGTAGGATGAGTGAGAAAAACAGATAACTGGTAACATGATCCTAAATGAAACTAAAATAAAATATTAATACGTGACTAAGTGTAATTATCTCTTTTTCATAGATGTTCTAAGTTAAAATAATACTGATAGTTTATTTACTCTTGAAGGTCAGAGATAATGTTTGGACCTAAGTTTTAATCAAAACTGTACCATAGAGAAACATGCTGTGATTGTGTCATTCTTTTCCCTTTTTTTAAGTATTAAATCCTTCATTTTATAACAATGGCCCCATTTTTAGATCAGGTCTGAATTCACCTGATCAGGATGAGGGCGACACAATGAATCTTTTCAAGAAATCTTAGAAAATTTACCATTTGGTGTGGGTTTTTATGGCTAATATTGGGGCCTGTTTTCTCTTTTTGAGGATGTAGCAACATTTGTACTTCATGTTCAGGTATGCTGAGCCTGGTCATGTACCTAAAAATGATGGTAAACTAGCAGGGTACCTTTCTGCTTGGATAACAGCAGACTGTTAATTGTATAAACTGTAAAATGTAGGCATTGGTCTGGAAGGATTTCTAAGACAAGGTATATGTTCCTCATTCATTCATTTAATTTTCACTGTTTTATGTAAAATATATAATTGCTGTAATGGAGTAGTAGTTAATTGGAATGCTGAAGGAATGTGTTGGGTGAATGAATATTGCTTTTTAACAGATTTTGTTGAATTTATCATTAACTTGTGCTTTTGTAATTTTCTCCCTTATTACTGTTTGTCCTTTATTCAAGAATTAAAGATAATTTACAAACATGTGA